CAAGAATGATGCAATTTCTGTGGTGCAAAAGCTCGACATGCACCAAAAGCTGCACACTGCACGTAAACCCAAATTCGGACGCCAGGTTTTTGAATTTTTCCTTTTTTCAAGTGTTTTTCGTTCGTGTCTTTGTTGTTTTTCATATTGTTTTCTTTGAAATGGATGTTGTCCACTACTGGGAAATGCCATAAAGCGATTTGTGAGCCAGGGGTTGCCCACGGACCGCAGGGCGGTGTAACTGTAAGGGAGCAATTTTGTTTGTGGTGTTCTTGAGGGCTCTTGTTGCTTTTTCCTTCATTGAGGAATTACTTATCAGCTACTGTTTCATAATTGATCAGCAATTATCCTTGACACTTTTATCGCGGGAGCAGTCTTTAAGCTTCCATTCGATGCTACAAATCATCGCTATTAGACAAGCCTAGGCGGAAATTTTTGGTAAAGGTTTTCAAGAAGGAATTTGCTGCATCGTTAGTATCATAACAAACGTATCTTATCGTGCCGATGCCCTCTGAAAGTTCTTGCCTGCTTTGAGCAAGGGGCTGCATCCGCCTTTGGCTGCCCCCCTCTACTGACAGTGGCCGGTCAGTGATCGTCTGGGAAGAAAACAGCTACTGCGGAAGACGCCACGTATATGCTCATTATATCCCTATTGACACCGTTCCATGTGGCTGTGACGATACCGTACGTTCACATTAAGGAGCGTCAGAACTTGCTGGTCATCCTGATGTTTCATACTAGTTGTTTTTCATGTTTTGTGCTGTTGCGATGGATATTTCAGCACTCTACCTTCTGACCAGATTTGATTTTGCTTTATGTTTGCTGAGGACCACAATTTTAGGCACAATCCGGCGACGATGGTGGGAGGGGGTATTTTACCTTTTCGTTGCTTCACTAGTTCCGTTTTACAAGTTTTACTCTGGTAAAACCTGTGAACTTTTCATTAGATAGCACTGGGTCTAGATTATATTGCAACCAAAAAAGTTCGTGCGGTTTTGAAGGTAGCGAAATAATAACATAAAAAACGGGTTAAACTTGGATTTATCCCGTAAAATAATTACCCTCAGCAAGTAATACACTTTCCCATTTAGACACAAGAACATATATTCCATTTTTGTAAAAATCTTGCTTCTGGGAATCAAAGAAATGTTTTAGTTCGTTGTCCAAAGCCACTTCATTTTCAAATCGCCGATTCCTCATGTGGTTGTCCAAGGCCAAAAACAAATGATAGTCACTTGGAGCAAGGTCTGGCGAGTACGGAGGGTGAGGTAGAATTTCCCATCCTAGTCGCGCTATTGTTTCCTGAGTGATTCTTGCAGTGCGTGGTCTAGTTCTGTTCGCCTTAATTGAAAGTAATCTAAATTAACAAATACACTGAATGACACTCCTTGACATATGTCTTAACATGTATTCAAAGTTACCCTACCACTAGATCCAGTTTACTGAATATACTTCATAAAAGTAAACAAAAAAAAACCCGCACGAACTTTTTTGGTTGCCTAATAAAAATTCCGTTCTGCTAGGTCACCTTCAGACCAATGTATGGGGCCAGAAAACAAGATCGTTCTGTTATATCATTATCATTTTTATGCTAAATGTAACTAGAACTTCCCTGTTTTGTCTTACTGCTCAAAGTAGTTCTTTATTGATTAGTATCTAGTTTTGTGACAGGTACTTGCTGTGGTTTTTCTTGCAGATCCTTTCTTTCTTCTATCATTGCCATTTTGCTTTTTTTGAGTTTTCGCATTTCAGATTTGCTGGTGAGGAAAATGGTGCACAGAAAGCGTGGGATAAAGCAGTCGCAGAAGGCGCAGATGGAAAAGTAATTTTCCAGGAGAAAGAGTTGACAGGAAAGGTGAGCCAGTAAATAGGAATTCAGAAGGCCTCTGCTTATAATAGGTTGGCACGCTCTCGTGCTGGTCGCTGTTAACTGAAAATTCTCTAAAAACTTTTTCCAAGTCGATTTGCCTGTTGCGAGATGGGATTAAATGGGCTGCTTGTTGAATCAGTTACTTTTTAATATCCTGAAAGTTTTTCTGGGGATAGCCGGCCATATATCTACCCAACAGAAGTATCCCAAAACAAGAAATGGTATCAAAAATCGAGCGAGGTGGAATAATCTTTAAATCTCTAATATCTTCATTTTCTTTCTTTTTATTATACTTTCATGTCTGACTGCATGTTGTTTTTAGGTTCTTGAAGGAGAGGATGAAGAAAAATACTGGAGCGCGTTCAATGCTAGCAAGCAGAACAAGATGGATAGAGCAAGCGGGCGACGAGGAGGTCGAGGAGGACGTGGACGGTGAATTCATTTTATTTTGTTGAAATTTCCATGAATATTTATTTATTTATTTATTTAGTGCACGCATAGGCGCGCTTTTACCATACTTGGGCTGTACACAGTCGAA